GCAATAGGAAAATGAAAATAATCCAATAACATAAATTCAGAAAGTTTGACCAATGGGATAGGATTAAATTCAGGAGACAATGGTGTTTTGGAAGCTTTATGAAGATCGTGTTTCAAGGAAGGAATGATCTACTCTGGAGCTATTAAGTAAAAATGAGTGTTGAGACCTGACCATTGGATTTTGCAATGCAGACAATCTCTGAAGATCTGGACAAGAGCTATTTCAGAGCCATAGGGAAGAGAAACTTTTTGCAGTGAGACAAGAGAGAGTAGGTTAAAGATAAATATGCACACACTCTGTGACCCAGAAAATCCATTTTCAGGAGAAACTCTTGCACACTTGTACCACAGGATTCATTTGAGAATGTTTAAAGCTACAGTATTTGTAATGGCAAAATACCATAAGGGTGGCTATGTAAGTTAGAATATATTCTTACAATGGAATATCATATTGCTTGTGAATGAATAAATTATTACTACCTACTTTATTAAAACATAATTTTGATTCCATTTATATTAATTTAAATGTAGGTAGAACTAAATTATATGTTATTTGGGGATCTATCTATGAGCAGTAAAATCACAAAAATCAAGGACATTTAGATAACATGCCAGATAACAGATTGGGCCAGGTCGGGAGAACACAGTCAGTAGACAGGATGCAGTTGGGGAGGGGCCACAGTCTTCAAAAATACTGGTGATGCTATTTGTCTTAATAAATGAAGACTGCCTTGAGGTTCATTTTAAAAATTAGTCTTTATGCAATATATTTCACAATAAAAAATTAAAAAAAGAAAAGTAGTGAAGAAGGAAATAGAAATGGAGGCAGTGTGTCTAGACAAACCTTTGGCAGAGTTTTGCTGTTGAAGGGAGGAAATGAGAAATAAAGCACTAGCTGGAGAGGGAATGTAGGTCTAGGAAGGATTTTTTTTTTGTTTTTTGTTTTTTAAACTGGAAATCGTATGGAGGTATTCCAGCAGAGAAACAAATGGTAAGCTTTAATTCATTCTTTGTAATATTAAACTCAGGCAGATATCCTGGCTAAGAAGTAAGATTGTCTGGGTAAAAATTTGTCTAGGTTAGAAAAAATATGTTCAATGGCTGTTTTTAATATATTTCCTTAAACCTTGAGGTTACTTATCCTTTTATTAATCACTGAAACACTTGTTCATATCTCTGGCAAATGGATACTATAAGTATTCAATAGAATCTGCCATTTTCTTTCTGCTGAGTTAGTCATCCATGTGTAAACTTTCCCAAAGTCAATCTTATTTTCAGTCATTTTGGATAGTTATCCAATGAATGGCTTTAGACTTGGAATGGTGCTTCTATTTTACATATCATGAGCATATGCTATATTTAGACTTAAAGCATACTTTGAAAAACTGTGACGTTTTCTTTGTTCAAGAGAATGGGATCCTTGTAGTTGGAGAAATTGGATTTAAGGAATTGGATTGAATATCTTTAAGTTTCCTTATAATAGTAGGTGTTGATTCATGACTTATTTTAGGGGTATCAACCGTAGCCATGTTGGGGGCTGAAGCAGCATAAAATCAGGTAAATAACAAATTTCTAGGAAATAACTTGGCAGTTCCTTCTAGAGGACAAATTGAAAATGGACATGAGAGGGGCGCCTGGGTGGCTCAGTCGGTTAAGCGTCCAACTTCAGCTCAGGTCACAATCTCTCAGTCTGTGAGTTCGAGCCCCGCGTGGGGCTCTGGGCTGATGGCTCAGAGCCTGGAGCCTGCTTCCGATTCTGTGTCTCCCTCTCTCTCTGCCCCTCCCCCATTCATGCTCTGTGTCTCTCTGTCTCAAAAATAAATAAAAACGTTAAAAAAATTTCTTTTAAGAAAATGGACATGAGAGAATTTGTTGGAGAATATATGATCCTAGGTGACTAATTGTAGCCTACCTCCTATGTATTGTAATGCCATGTCCCCACCTCCCAGCATGTACCACCATTAGTAAAAGTCTGGCCAAGTGTGGCAAGTGTTTTGGTACGCAGCCTGGGGTTTTGTGGGCAAAAACGTGAACTTTAAGTTTACTATTTTTGGGTGCTGTGTCTGTAAAGATAAGTTGATACCCACTTGTCTAATTTCTATTAAGACATATATTCTTTGCTAATGATTTATAATTTAAAGCATGGTTTATGAAAGTTAAAATAGCAATTTGTAAAGCAGGATTGAAGCAACAGGCAGAGTTTGGAATATGTTTTTGACAGTTATGGCTTTTTCCTCCTACTTTTGTCTCATGTTGTTTTGAGCTGGTAGAAGGCAGAGCACCTGATTGGCTTCGGCATGTCTGTTTAGACAGTTCGTTGTATCACAAGCACAGACAAATGGGAAGAAAATGGAAATAGGATCTGTTATGGTTTAAGGCTTTCTGCTAAGACTTGTCTGTTCCTGAGCTGAGATATGCTCCCTTACCTTTAAGTCTTTCCTTAAACTACATTCTGAATTCCAGCTTATAAATCTTTATCCTGTTTTCCAACCTGTATTTCATACTTTTTATGTAATCTAGTGGACATAGATAGACACTCCTTGTGTAAACTTGACAAAATCTGGAATACCCAAGGATTTAAAATGAATAATTATTATATCATGATAACATAGCTGTACAGATTCTTGGGCCCTGTGGTAGGATTTCTTTCTTTGGAGAGGGGTGAACAAGGTAGATGAAGATAGGAACACAGCATTTTTGCAACCTTTAGGAAAGGACAACGTGGAGGGGTCTGGGGGGTTAATGTATATATAAAAGTAATCGAACCATCCAAGAGAGCCCATTCTCAACCAAAATATATCACAGAATTTACCTAGAAATATACCAAAAATTCCCTAAAAATTGCCTACAATTACCTGAAAAACATATTACACACTTTTATTTCCCTTCTTTTACCCAATTTGGATACCATGCTTTTTCAGAGCATATGAAGGAATTGGAAAATCGTGGAGTTTGAGATTTAAATTGGAGATAGTATGGCATGACTTTATGCTGATGGGAATATTCTAGCAGAGAAGGAAACTGTATGTTTTAATTCATCCCTTGTAATGTTAAACTCAGGCAGATGTCTTGGCTTTAAAGTAAAATTGTCAGAGTGAAAATTTGCCTAATTTTTAACTCCCCAGCCCATTTGAATACTCTTTCACCTTTCCACTGAGAAGTCTGCTCTTTATTCAGGTTGACAGAAGGCACTAGTTTTTAGGCATGGATCCTCAAATTGGTGGGTGAGAATCCATAAACTATTTTCAAAATTTCATCAATTTGCATGGTAACTTTGATGATCTCATTCTCATAAAAACCAACCAATCCATGGAATGCCTGGGTGGCTTAGTTGGCTGAGCATCTGACTCTTGATTTCAGCCCGGGTCATGATATATGAACCCAACCAATCCATGAACAGAACTAATTGGTAATTATATATATTTTAGGTTAAAAAAGGAGCACAGATTGATTTTTTGCAGTGCAGGCTATTTAAAAGATAAAATATTTCAGACTGTGATCTGTAGAAATCAAGGCTTCAAAGAAGAGTCTTTGTGAAAGACTTCTTTTGAGATTGGAAAATTTGGTTCTGATTGAGTGTCGTATTTCACGTAGGGTGGATCAATTTAGGAATTAGATCGAGGTATTCTGAAATTGTACATCTCTTTTATTATTTGCATTGTTTTTATATCTTTCTATATTTTCCTTTGAATGATATTTTGATGCACCTTTAGCTCCTTATAAGGGCCAATTTTTGAAAAATTAGAGAAATTTCTTTACAAAATTAAAATAAAAATGTTTCAGCCAAATGCATTTCAAACTGTATTTTGATTACCAAAACAATGTTACATTGTTATAGTTTAAAAATAATGGAAAAATGTAATTAATAAGCTTACCACTTTAATACAACAAGCATGATTAGTAGTAGAGCTCTGTGATGTGATAGTCCATGAGTAAATACAACTCTGTGACTTTTTGCATACAGTGAGAACAGATACAATGTATAAATTCATAGATTTTAAACCCTTTTAATGAATTCATCATATCCATTGAGTATGAAATTATTTTATTTATATATTATTCTTTATTGTTGTTAGAAACTTACATGGTTACCTATTTTTCATTTGTGTATTTATATATATTCAAATGCACATAATTGTATATATATTTTATTAAAATAGGATCTAAGTTTTCATTGAGTTTTCTAAAGTTTGGTAGATTTAAAGTAAACTCAACTACACTTAATGTAGCCAATCTACTGCTAATGTTTTTATTTAGCACATTTTTTAAATGACTTTTTAAATGGCTTAGTATCAGGTTTTTCTGTGTTCATGGAAAAACAAAATGAACAATAGGTATAATCATAGATACACATATAAACATATCAAATTGTATAGTGATTTTTGAGATTGTACGATCTGATTTTGGATTAGACCACAGTTTGTTGCTCCTTTTATGTAAATGTGTATGAAAATAAATATTCATTAAAAAGAAAACTGAACAAGTACTATTTTTTCTTAAGTATCAATAACAATTTACTTGAAAATAAGGATATGGTAAGTTTATGAAAAGTAAACAAATACTATCTTATTTTCTTAAAGAAGACTTCAGGTTTCAGGTTCATTACATATAGCTAGTGGCTATACAGAAGTCAAAATACAGAATCATGGAAAAATTCTAAAACAACAGAAGAATTTTTTACTGATTACATTTTTAAAATCCACTCATCACTTTTTGAAAAGTTAAGCATGAGAAAACAAAAACATTTCCTTATTTAAAGATATGTTTTCATAATCCTAAACCGTCTCTTTAGGTTTACTAATTTTGTAAAAAAAAATCAGTCAGCCAAACACCTTATTTAAACAACATCAAACATATTATATAAACAATATCTATAAGTTTCAGTGAAGTTTCTGGAAAAGATTGTTAGACAGACAAAATTTCTTCAGCTTCTGTATGTTTTTCACATGCTCTAAGATATAATAAAACTTCTAAAACTACAGAGACAAAAACGGGACTTACCTATACATTTTAATCCTTAATAATGAAGAGGTCCTTTCTTCTGCCTATCCAACTTCTCTGAGATTTCTACTCAAATGAATGACTCTATGTATTATGTGTGATCTTTGAAGGAGCTGAAAACAAAGGAGGAAATCCCACGTAATTAAAATCTAACTTGTTAAACAAGTCTGAAGGAATCAACTTGAACCAATAGTATGACTTGTAGAATGGAATCAGAAACAGGGAATTTCACAAATCAGTAAGAATTTTATTTATTCTGGTAAATTGTGACTAAACATGATAACAGGTGATAGGTATTTTGTTTTGCAAAAGTTTGCGACTACTCCACACGCTCTAGTCATTTTTTAATTCAAGAGTTTATGACACTCTTGCCTGTGTTATATTGTTATACACTTCCTTCTTTGCCACAGCAAGCTGAGGATGATCAGAAAATATTTTCCAAGCACTAATGGGTAGTACTACCTCCGAATTCCCCATCTCTGTTATAAAATACTGTTTTTCTCACGGAATATGAAACAGAGATTCAGAGAAGTAATTGAATAAGTGTAAAAGTTGTGGGCTAGGCAAGCAGAATAGTTGGAACTAAAATTGACTTTGTCTTTTTTCAAGTATGTGTTTTGAAATAAATATTCTAACTCACTACCGCTAGCAGATGAGTAGATAGCAAAACATAGAAAAAGCAAGTGTGGGGTGAGGGTAAGGATGGAGAATGTCGGCAGTGTTTGCAGGCAAGGGCAGAGCCCATGAAAACACAGAGGCAGGAACAGCATGGAAGTAGAAAGGACATTTCTATCACATGTGTTGGGAAGGAGTAGGAAATATACCTGGAAGGTTGTGCTGAGGTTACTTTGTGAGAAATACTGCATGCTAAAGAATCAGAATGTGTAATTGAATTAGATCAGGTATTAAAACTTAAATTTTAGTCTTAGCTTTTTTGCCAACTAACTGTAGCCTAAGAAGAAAAATCACTTATTCCTTTATGAATATCATCAACTTACTGAGAAAGAAAGCTAAATCAGAAGGTTTTAGAGGATTCTTTTCAACTCAGATTCTGTGCCTTTATCTTGTAAATCACTGATAGCTAATGGCTAATGAATTCACTCCAGGACTTCAACTAGACAAGTGTTCAGTTTCTTACACATTTTTTTTTATATAATGTGCAAATCAGACAAGGGGGACAGGAAGGAGTGGGCTCCTCTCTACTGTTCTACCCTTCACTTACATATTTCCATCGGATCCTATATCTCATGTCTGATATTCTGGGGTTTTTTTTGTTTATTTTTGTTTTTTTGTTTTTTTAGTAAAAACAAAATTTTTTATAACTTTTGAACAAAGTTATCTAAACAAACCATTTCATTTTACATATTAATCTTTAAGTACTTTTAACATGTACAAGTTTTTTTCATATAGTTATATCACAGTATATAACTTTGTATTATGCTCTTTATACCGAATGTTATTTCTATAAGCATATCCCTGTGTTATTACATTTTTATTTCTAGTAGTTATATATACTATTTTAATATCTGTATATGTACCTAATAGTTGTATAAAATGTACATTATAATTTTTTATTTTGATGTAATTTCAAACTGAAAGAAAACTTGGCAGATGTAGTACATAGATTCATCAGTTATTACCAATTCTAATGGCTCCAATTTAAAGGGTGAATCATCTTATACTGAATAGATTTATCATAAAATACTAAAACCATCTCCCAATGTATTTAGATGTTTTCTTCGTTTTAACTGTAGGTGATTCTTTCAATGATCACCTTCACCAATATACTTTTTATTTTTCACTACACTGCTAAATGTTTCCTTGAAATAAGTGGAAAGGAAAAGTAACTTATTGGACTAAATTATATAAATACTTTAAGGACTTTTAAAAATTTACTTAAAAAAATTTTTTTTCAAGGATATGAAATATTCTGGTTTTTGTTGACAGCACTTTCCCCCAACTGCACATGCCTGCTTTTCTCTATCTTTGTATTACCTGGAGTACTTAGCAAAGGCCTTTTTTAGTGAGTAGGTGCTTAGTCACATATATTACTTAAATGTCCAGTAACTGAATATATTAATGCAGATCCTGGTGCCCTATCACAGATTCACAGCAGAACTTGGGAGTGAGTCAGGGGAGCGGCATAAGGAAAAAAAAAAAAAGAACTGCATTCAGTCTGAAAGTGACTTCCTGCTTACCTGTGATGAGCTCAACACAGAAAAAGAGGTGGGGCATGAAATTATGGTTTGTGAGGCAAAGGAATTGCTCTTAACAGGGGCTAGGTCAAGAGATGTTGAATCTTAATCTTCAAATCCTCAGGGAGTGGCAAGATAGGTCTTGGCTTTTCTATTCTTAACAAATAGCCATTGCAAGAATAAAGCATATAGGCTGACATTATAGAAAAATTATCAGAATCTTCTTCCTCCATGTCATTGGCTTGATTTTATTACTCCAGTTTTGCATTTACAAAACCAAGACAACCTGATTTAGGAGGACTGACCTGAACAGGCTTCAGGGAAATAGAAGAGATCATTTGTTTTAGGGGAGAAGAAAACATGCAGTGTATGAGCTATCAAGGTTGCTTCTTTTGCCTGCCTAGGCTGAGGCAGAGAGATCCTGGTAAAGACAGAATCTCCAAATATGCAAATGTGTGTTAATAAGCCTTGCTCTGACAGATGTATGAATCATTGAATGGAGCCCGTCATAACAATATGAGCAGAGAAAATAACCAAAAAGCAGATGATCTAAGAAGGTGTGGACCACTGGTGTTTTCTTTCAATTTAGAGTTTGTTTTGTCTTTAGGTTCAGGGCAGCACAGTCATATGGCTATGGTTGGTAATGAGTGCATCATGACTCTCTCACAGAATTGTAACATAGATACAAAAAGAAAGATAGTGAATTTTCCCACTTTTTGAAAGTTGTAAAATGTTATTTAAATATGCATGTTAACATTTATTATAAATGTAAATTTTAGAATAAGCAGAAGAACCTAGATTTGATCCAGGTGTATTCTGACCTCAAAGAGTGTACTGTTTCTACCACAATGTGCCATTTGAATAGACAAAAGCCTTTGGAACATAGTGGGATATAGTTATTCCCTTACTTCCAACTATGTACAAGTGATAATATGTAAAATTAAACTTGGCCACACATACAAAATCCAATTACCTGATTTTGTAAGGCCTCACAAAAGGAGGTGGTTAGGGTATGAACTCTGGATTGGTTGGTTTGCATATGAAGGACTCCCTCATGGTGGAGTCATTTGCTGTCTCTAGGTACTAGCTAGCCCTGGGAGCAGCAGTCCCTCTAGGGTTAGCAAAGCCCCAGATATCAAAGCACCAGAGTAAAAAGATGTGCTTAAGACAACCCAACACCCTGAAACTGCAAGTTTTGTCAAGTTTTGCCTCATTTTTCAAGCCAAGGGCATTTTTTTCTCAGTGGTTACTCAACCAATGACTGAGCAAGAGGGTGATGTAAGATTACTGCCATTTCCATGTAATGTAAATTTATCTAACAAGTAACATTTACTCCAGAGTTCCCAGCTGGTCTGGCAGAGATTTTATTGGATAGGCATTACTCCCCTGACAATACAGCTTCCTCCCTTTTCCTTTAACAGGTGTTACTTTTCAATAAGCCTTTGTACTTTGTCTCAGTGTTTGTTGTCCAGAAAATCCAACTTGTGAAAGGTAGTACTGAGAGAGCTCCAGGAAAACCGTCAATAAGATGAGATTTGTGGACTGCATCACTCACCACCCAGATGGTAATAAGGACTCGGTGGTAGGTGGCACGCTGACAGCCTGTAGCACAGGTGGTGATGTGATATTAAAATTCTCACCACCGGTGAGCTGGGCCAGCATTACAGTAGAGGTGAATGCATAGGCCAGTGTGTTGATTCATGTATTTGAAAGGAATGGGGGGGGGTAGACATAAGGACAGTGGAATTGCATGGTTGCTGGTAGGCTGTATGTATGCCCCATAATGCAGTAGTAACGATAATGGAAAGTTGAGGGACATTAATGTAATTGAAAACTGAGTATGAGATCCAAAGTTTCTCTTTGGTCGATTATTAGGAAACCCTCATCTCATGTAGTAAGTAAGTGAGTAGGAAAAAACTGCATACCAAGCACAGGATTGGACAGAGTGCCTGAACTCCCATGATTGTTGAATGTTCAACAGAGAGAGGTCTGTTATTCCAAAGTCAGAGTCCTACCTGGGAAAACTTGGGACCTGACACATGGAATGTAGTTATTTGGCTAGACATCCCTGAAGATTTTGACTCTGCAGACTTCTTTTGAGCCTTCTGAATTTTCATAAGTGGGTCTTCTCTGTCCTTTGAGAGTTAGTATTCTGCAGAGACACTGCAGAGGACTTTTTCCTACAAGGTGATAGCTATCCTCTTCAGGAGCTGCATGTATCTCCTCTCCTGGATGCTAGGCCTCTTACCAATGTTAAGTTGCAACATAAACATCTGGGAATGTGTTGGGCCTAAAGAGAGAGGAAAGTATGTATATTACAAAGAAGTTGCAAAAACTGGCAGCAGGTGCTAGCAGGTGCTGTGGGTGTACATTCTGTTTGACTGGATTTGGAAGGTGCTTGAGCAACTGTTCCGGTACATAAGGCTGGTTAAGGAAGGGATGATTGACTTGGGGCAGTCTCTCAGTAGACAGGACATAACACCTGCCAAGCAAGGTACAGGGGATGGTGTCAGTTTGCTGCTGGGGTGGCTCCCAGAAGTCTAGAAAAAGCAATGGCCCATGTTAAACAAGGTTGAAATTCTAGAATTTTAATGGGAGACAGTAGAGGTCAAGGGGATTAAAAGGCTCAGAGAAGTAGGCATGGTGGAATGGATATATTATGCAAAGCTTCATTAGAAAATCATGTTTCATGGGAAGGCCCAGGTAATATATCATTCACCAAGACCATCAGGAATGTGCTAGTGAGAAGGGTACCAGTAGGGAATCAACTTGTTCCATTTTTCCCGGAACTGTCCAGGCTTTAAAACTGAAACTCTAGCATTCTGGAAACCCAATCTTAGGTAAACTGGCACAGATGGTCATTCTAGTGCAG